CAAGTAAAATTCGTAAACCTTACTTCAAAATGGACGAAATATCCTCCAGTATTAATATCGTCCTGGATTCAACTTTTTTCCATTATATTAGGAATAAGTGGGACATTGAGTTTAACTTGTGATGTGATAATCCATATCACCACCTTTGTCGGTTAGGGTAGAATAATGCCCAAGGTGTCATTTAAGGAATATGTTTMAAAATGCTGTCACTCAGGTTTCTGCCCATACAACATCTACTTATGTTACGCATATGGYTATGCAAAAGGGACCAAAGGGTTGTAATTAGCACTCCACATTCTACACATATTAAGCAGGCACAGAATACGTAGGGAGCTGCCGTATCGCTTTAATTTCACAAAAAAAACTATAGAATAAATAATGACATAAGTGGTAGACCGAAAAAACGTTAACGCAGAAAATTGGCAATTAACTCCCTAAAATAAATCTTTTCTGTCCCCTCTCCGGTATGACTGAGTTTTTCCAATGGTCTCTAAATCATTATTGAAACTAGTTGTGTTCTACTATGGTACCGTATAATAATTATGAGACCTAAATAACCACTTTAGGAGACTCAAACTATATCAAATATTTGTTTGTTGGTTGGCTTAGACATATCATTGATCTTGTTTCATCAACCAATAAGTTATTTTATTACCAAGCTTTCGGGCCTTAGGCCCATCATCAGGGTTAATGGAGTCAACACTAAAAAACGTTACAAATCCACGCACGATATGGCGTAAACAACATTATCCTCGAGCGCTTACAAAAACAAAAAATAAGCGCGAGCTATAATTAAGGTTGAGTTCTAGAATTACACTATTTTCAATTCAATAGAGAAATATAATTATCAGGCAGTTTTCTGCCGGAGTCTCTGTTAAAAATAGAACTGTCAAACTGTCTAATCACGATGCGAATCTTTTCTATACTAACAGGCTGAAATAGCAGCTTATCTCCCAAAAATAAGCGCTGCTTCATCCAACGCTGCAAAAAGTGGCACTGTCGCAGAACTTCGAAAGTTGATCAATGAAATTGACACCATTAAAGCTGAACGTGACTCTCTGGAGGAAGATCTGAAGGTACAACAGGACGATATGGGTAAGATATGATTCCCGGGCTGGGAATCACGTTTAATGTATAGTTTAAAAACTTTGACGATAGTCAGCTCTGAGCTCATTGTCAAATTAACTCTTTCAGTGAGTGGTTGGGGATTTATTTACGCCAGCTATTTCCCAGATCTAACCGCATATGAATTTTCTTAGCTGTCAAGTTTCTTAGTGCTTTGGCTGCTGATGGGTCTATTACTGACGTAGAAGGTATCATTGGAGGAAATCTTAGTGCTACATTTGACCCAATCAAGGAAAAAGTAACGGAAAGCATGGCTTCACAAGAGAGAGTCCTTGCTGCTCTTCAGGTTCGTTCAACAAAAAGTGATTCACGCACGAGTCATAATACGAAGTTTCTTTGCGAAATTAACATTATCCGTTGTCGGGWCAGCCTTGGAAACGACTTTTATTCATTAACACAATAGGGAGTGGTGAAATTTCAAACATATATCTCTCTTCGACAAAAATGGTGGATGCCGTTGCCAGTTGACACTTTCTTATGAATCACCGCTGTACCAATAGTACTTTGGGCGACGATAGCACTGACCACATAAGAACCGGAACRTATGAACGGGTTTCGGTTCGATTCTCAGATAAGTCATGTTTTCTGATTTTCTCTAGACAACAAACCAAAAATTTGTTCAAGAGAGGCAATCTGGACAAGCTGTCACAGAAAGGGAGGCTAAACTGAAGGAATTGGCTACAGCTCACGATAGCTATATGGAACTGACTGCAAACCTTAAAGAAGGGACAAAGGTAAGATATAATACCATGTCCATTAATTAAGATTAATAACAAGATATCCTGCTGGCGAACGCATTGCAAGTTTCGTTACTAATGCAGGTTTAATATGATCGTCCGGTGTGAAAAGTCTTGAGAGTCAGAGTGAAGATGTATGGAAACTACTGCAAACCCAAACGTCAAACTGACTAATCACGTGATCACTGTTTTCTGTATTAGCCAGGGCGAAGGGAGGGACTCCCTTCTTTCGCCCGGTATAAGCGCTCTGTTATTTTGCGTTTGTCCGTTCAACTGCTCGCTGTTTTAATCCTCATACAGGCCTTCTCATATTTGCTCTATTATAGCAACAAAAACGGACTTTCACTAAGCCTCTCGATGTCGAGGAGACATTTAATCACTAATATCCCGAAGAAGCCTTAAATAATATGGAATGATTTGTCTTTTTATCAAACAAGACCTTGATAGATCACTACTAATAAGCACTATTAATTTTTTTCCAGTTTTATAATGATCTCACACCAATCCTACTGAGATTTCAGCAAAAGATCAGCGATCTTGTCTTCGCCCGCAAGACTGAAAGGGATGACTTATCTAAGTATGTATCAATTTCTCCAGTCTCCGTCTCTACTTGGATTGCAGCCAAGGAAAACAACAAAAAATTGATTCAGCAAACGCTGTCAGACACAAAATCATAGAACATAGAGTCTGGTTCAAGAAAGGGCGTTATTGAATRACTATACAATGAATTGCCGTATTTCACATGTGCTCTTTCGGTATCGTGCACAAGTACAGATGAACGATGACCYCGCTTGCATGCAAATTTGTTGCATTTCTATGAAAAGGACTTATGCGATGATTTCATTTCATAGTTCAAAACCTCATTTCATACGTTCTATTGTAGGGAACTTCAAAATTCAATCGCCAATCAACCGGCGGAATCTACTCCTACTGCACCAGTTCACCATAATGGTAAGTGATGACTTACTCTAGTCCCAGACCAGAAGAAGAACTTGCATGCACATGCTTTGGATCACATCACAGGTCACTGTGCTATGCATAGTTTTCTTGTGTTTGTCGTTTCTTTTAGGTTCACTTTAAGAATTANTAGGTGCCTCTATACGCTTGTTAGTTAATACCATAGTATGGAATACGTACGACAACCCTACCTCGGCATGTTCGATATGGTGTCGTGAGTTCTTGGCTGTTAGTAGTCTCTTCTCCCAGACGTGAGGAGGTTCGTTCCCAGGTCTCTCCCGGGGGAGGAGACCTGGGAACGAACCTCCTAACGGCTGTCAGAGGAGACTAGGCTAAGTGGTAGTATGTCGGAATACCAGTCTCTTTTTTCCCAAAATGTTTCTCCCATACATTGCACTCGCATACTACCCATGTTACGCAATTTTAAAACTACCTCGAGGAAGTTTAGGTAAACGTGTTGTTTAGCGCGTGGGTAAACATTAAACGACTCTAAAGGGATTGGGGAGGYCCCTACGCAGGCTAGTTTAGTTGGTTGGTGTGAACGATTCTGACATGCAAATGAGGTTTTCGAGTTGGTTTTCGAGTTGATTCATCCATAATTGTGTACATTGAGCTTTGTGCATTTTTGGCATAAAGACGTGCTTGACATTGAATTTTTAGATAAAAAGATCTTAAGCAAGACCCCTGATTTATGAGTGGTTTACTATATCAATTTTAATGAAAACTCTTCGATCAAAACAGAACCCAGACAACCCCCACCACGGCCACCACCACCAGCGACGCAGTCCCAATCATCTACTACTGCCCAGGGACAATATGCCACTGCACCAGCACCRTACCAGGGAAATTACTACCAACCCATGCCTGCACCAGGATATGCACCCTATGGATATGGTGCCTATGCCCCACCTGGTGGCATGGGCGGGTATGGAATGCCACAAGGACCAGCTGCTCCTCCATTGCCTGGAGGTTACTACTATGCACAACCCCCAGGAGGGTTTTCGTACCCTCAACAACCTGGTCAACCARGACAGCCAGGACAGTATAGACAATGAGTAGCGCACAAATTTTTGTYCTAATTAATTTACCAGTACTAACCAGCTTGTCACTAGATACTAAATAATTCATGGACTATTAGTACATGGACCAACTTGGCTACGTTGTCGTAAAGGTACAAACTACGTAAAATTATAATGTAAAAACTGTAATCGTAATTACAAGGTGTTCAAATGATCAATTTTTTTTAAGTATATTCATCGCTTGAAAGACTTAGAACAACTGTTTTACTATCACATTGTGGCGTGCTAGGTTTTCTTTGATTGATAAGCAATGTAACAAACAATATTGGACATGACATATTTTACCGAAGGAAACTTAAGACGCCATACTGACTGAACGTCCTGTTCCTTGAATCCCATTACAAAACCWTGAAATATATCATGAAATGAAAACATTTGATGTGTAAGTATTGGGGTTTGAAAAGAAGTTTATTGTAKTCTTTAAGATTATCTTACAGTTTTAGAGCTAAGCAAGACATTGGTGATTCAGCACAATTTGTCTTTTCTAGATTTTCAACACTTCTGCTTGATTTATCATGATAATGTGGTGCTTAGAACGTAAATAAATGCACTTTCTTAACGAATAAATGTAGATTCCTATTAAAGTCTTGGTGTAATATTTCAGCTACTTATAAGAGCACGATCTTTGCTCATTGGTACAATACGTATTTTGCATTTGGGTAAGCGTACTATGAAACGAAAAGTATGACTGAAACATGGCAAACGAATGAAACAGTTTATATTTCATCAACCGTTTATTCCATACGGCATGGGCCCGCCATTGTAACAAGATGAATTAGATAAGGTGCTGTTATAGTTTGTTGGTRGAACCATATGGTTGTACGGAGAGTTAAAGTTGTTGTACTGATGTATTCGTTGTTGTGAGAATTGCGCGTTTGCGCGCAAAGTTGTTTTCTGTAGTGCGTCTTTTAGTTCCCTTTTCCATTTCATACGCCTRTTCTGAAACCAGATCTTTATTTGTGTTTCTGTGAGTTTCAGGCTTGTGGCTATTTCTATTCGCCTTGACCTTGTCAGGTACTTGCTGAAGTGGAATTCCTTTTCTAATTCTACKAGTTGYCGTTGTGTAAAAGTGAACCTTTTCTTCTGTCCTACTGCCAAASTCATATCCTTTCCTGAGCACATTTCATTAGTCTTATCCTCCTTTTCCGATTTTTTTCCTGAAAATCAAAGATTTCACATTTATTTTTGCAACTTTATTAAGATTTATCCAGAAAAGCGAGGGAATCTACAAATATTTGCAATAGTTTTATTTCGCAATAAATTCACATACACTCGGATATAGTTTTTGATGTTCAAATCCTGGGAATTTTCATGAGCGATATGTTCAAACAGCACTTTTATCGTTGATATAATCAAGAAGAACTGCGAGAAYCTGATAAATCTGTTATTTATTTTTAGTATTACCATAGGTCCCCACTTGATATCAAGTGGCGATAAGATAAGCTCTTGTTGAGTGTTTTGAACAAGACATTTGTTTATCAAATACTTTCCTTCACTAACGAGCCTCTTGTACTAAACACATGATACAAAGTTGTAACTGTTGGTCATCAAAGAAAAGTATTTAATGTTTTTCATCTACGACATAATCACATCAATTATTTTCTTGGGGCACTCGTTATACTTGTCAAAAATTGTTCTTAAGATTCAGGAAAGAGTTAATTTGCGAATTTGTAAATAGCTGGAGGCAGAAGTGCTCCACGCAAAGAGGATTAAGACTGTAAACAGGTGAGAATTTATCTGATTTTTCACTGTTAGCCTCCCAATTAACTTAATCTTGGCTAAAATAGCCTTGATTCCAAAACTAGATCTGTCAAAAGGGGACTTGAGAATATAGTTTAATTCAACTGATTATTTAGATCGATTGGMAGACTTTTCTTTCATAGCCTTTTCCGATCCAATGGCGATAATTTGACAAATAGCAAATTTCATAAACTTATAAATATCTTAAAGGACCGGATTTCGCAAATACTGTAACCGAAATTCAATRAGGCWTATTTTGCTGAAGTTTAAAAAAAATCTTCAAAATGATGATAGTATTGAATTTGTATAAGTCATCAGTCATACCAATAGTTGTTCAAACGCTTTTGGCAGCTTGTGAGTTTAGTGGCACCCAATTAATATAATTTAATTAAGTTCTTAGCAGGAATATTTTGATTTGAAAACATTTCAAAGCTGYATAAAATAATAAGTTTTATTAGGAAGGTTTGGAGACTTAATTAGATAAAAGTATTTTTGTTAATTTTTGAAAGATTGAGGTGAATTTACCCAAAACAGCCCCAGAACATATATGTTTATATTATTATATTTTTTTGGACAAAAACGTTTATCAGGAATATCAAGTTTTCTTTAACAGAATTTTTACAAAGAATTATAAGGGCATTGTGTATTACCGCTATATTTCAATGAGTCAGAGTTTAACAATGCGACAATATTTCACGAGTTACAATTGACATTTACATGAAGTTGCTTCTATAGAGTCTSGTGTAGTATCTACAAAAAACCTATGAATGTCGTCCAGCTGTATGAAAAGTTTGCTCTTGTTTTGATGAAGAAGTAGCTTTTTAATGGCAACATCTCAGCATTTGTTTGTTTTCTTTGCTATCGTCGCTCGGAATGTCTCAGTGAAGACTACGATTAGCTTGGTCGCTCGAAAAGATTTAGCCTATTTTAGTAACCACTCCCTATTACTAGAACAAACGTAACCAACATTATACCTTTGCGTTTTGTAAACATCCATCGAAAATCCGCAGTTTGCCATCTCTTCTTTTCAGACTGGTTTGCCGGCTTTCTTTGACGATGTGCCTTACTGTTGRTTTGTTGGTTTGCTGGGTAAATACTTGGTATAGAAAGGCTATTGCTAAGCCCATARCTACATTGATTGGCGTTCAAGTACCCACTATTAACACTTGTGAATTGTCCTGGGATTTGATGCATATGGATTGGCGCATGAGTTAAAGGCACGGTACGACCAAAGTCAAGGTTTTGGCCACGATGTGGTGAAGCCACGGTATGGGGTAGAGTATGCTGCCAATCGTTCATAGTAGATGTAGGTCTGTTGAAAGATGAAGTTAGCTGAAATTGACGCTTATGTGTGTATTAATGGTGATCGAGCGATAACTCAAAATAGGCGGGGGATATGATTAAGATAATTTGTATACGAAAAGGAAGAGAAGTTAACTAACCTCGAAGATAAACGAAGGAACACGGGATAGTGGGCCACGTAATATCACCTTGATAGTCCAGTGGATCTTTCAAGTGTTTTTTCTCAGTTATGGGGAGTTCAAGGTGGAGCCTTGTTCATTTGAAATAAATRACCTGCGGTGACCATTGTCATAATAAAACACATGCTTACCATTTGATGAAAATGAAATTATCAAAACACAGCTTCGTATTCCTACGGGAGGTCACAGTCTAGATGAACATCCGCTTCCATTCTAAAAAAGCTGATTTTATTTGGCCGGATTTGTGTATTTGATTACAAATAAGACAGCACAATAACTTGGAAGCAATTAAATAAAAGAACTRGGACAAACTAGGTAAACCATAGAGATAGCGTCTAGTTAGATGAACTAGTTATAGGCGCTTTCTCCTGGGTTTAATCCGTCTAAAGTCCATTATTTTAAAGCTAACGCACTCAAAAATAAATAGAAACTTTTATAGATCTAACAATATTGACTTACTGAATCCTTTTAATCATTTGAATCCTTTTAGAATCGGTCTGATTTCTTTAATCTTAAAAGTCGAAGTGTTTTCACACTCATTTTCTTTTCCAAGGTGATAACTCAATGAGTGTTTTCTTTACTTCTCTGACAGTTATTATCTGGTCGCTAATGAAAACGAGGGTGCAGGGTATTGCTGATTTTTGATCATCAATACTAAACAAGGACATGATAAGTTTTCATAAGTAGTTCTAAACTATCAGTAAACGATTGCTAGAAAAAACCTGAGGAACACTAAAATATGAATGTCCGCTTTCCAACTCTCGCAATGTCCCGGAACCTATTGATGCAGACACGAGCGATTTTTCACTTGCGCAGGCGACGCGATTTTCGGGTACGATGAAAGCTGAACATCGCTGTTTTTGTACATATACCTCTTTATGGAAATTCAAATAAATATTTATYAGGATTATTTTATCGATACAGCATTGTCGCTCGTGCAGCCACATCGTTTCGCTGTTGATATTGAGAAAATCGCTTTGCACAGATGAAAAATCGCTCGTGTAGCAGCAGCTTAATGAAGTATTGATGTGTTACCTGTTTTTTGTTCTCGACTTTCAAGTTATAAATTCTTATGTTTAGCACACAAATGCTAAAAAAACACCCTAAGAAAAGACATTTTTAATTTTTATTCTATAATTGATAATGGACGTAAAAGTTTAGGATAAACGCAAGTTTTATTCCATCATATAAGGTGTGTAGTTGGTTTCACCCGATACCCCTGGTGACAAGGATTTTGTCTGGAACATGAGATTGATCACGGCATCGAATTGTTTGTATTCTCAGCGTGGCCAGCCAAATTAACTCACTTTGATTAATTCTAACATCCAAAATTAAAAAGTTCATTTTTTTTCATTTACTGTGTTGCAATTCGCAGTCTCATCATTCACTATTGTTTTCACGATGTTTCAGGAAAATGTAAAAAATTCGCAGTCACAAATATGCATGATAATCAATCAAACGTTGAAAAAAGGTACACATGACGATTGGTCTATTTAGTTTCTATCTAAGAAATAAAATATTTATTATATATATAACGAGACTTTCATAGAGTAAATCGCATTAATAAAAATCTGTATGCTATATTTTCACATGTGAAAAATAGCGATACGTCCAATCAGAAGCGCGTATAGCATTAGTACTATTTGTTTCACGCTTTAAGTGCGAGCACTCTAGCTAATGATAATCAAAGTATTAGAAATAATTAATTTGAGAATTAATAGTAGTGAAAAAGGTCTTTGATACATGACTGCCTCAGGAAACGACCGCTAACCGTCCAGTCTATATGCGCCGTCTTATACCATTACACTACTGAGTTTCTGATGCGAATTCTCGGAAGATAATGAACTAGTTTACCTAAAAGGTATGAAAGTGCTGCCCGGTAGCTTAATTGTCAACGTGATAAACACCTCAGAGTAGGAGATATATAAAAAAAATCATTGCCACCGTGTGATTCCATTTGATGTGTTGCATGACTTCACTCTAGTATAGGCGGTTTTTCTGCATTTGCATTACTCTTACATGGAAAATCTTGTCCCGAATTATATTCTGTTGTGAACCCTTATTGCAACGTCTTAAACTAAACTCAGTAATAAAATTGCAGAGAATAGAGAAAAAAAGAAGACTGAAATATGATGCACGGTGTTGATGTATCACACTATCAGTGTTGAAAGTCACTATATGATATATCTCTTGATATTCTTTTTGATATTATCAATATATCATGATAAACTTTTCATGGGGAATATAAGAAATATCAAATGCTACTATCACATGTGACATATGGTGATACAGTTAACTCTCTTTGAACGACCACTCTCGTAAGCGACCATCTCCCGTAAGCGACCACCTTTAAAATTTCCCGTTTTGTTTCCCATATAAACTCTGTAAAAACACTCTCTCGTAGGCGACTACTCTTGTAGGCGACCGCGACCACCTTTGGGATTGAAATTGTAGAATTTTTCATTGTTTTTCCTCTCCCGTAAGAGACCACCCTCGACTGACGCAATAAAGGCGTGTGCTTAGTTACTTAGTAAAGCTTACACAAATTACATTTCCGGTTACATTAATAGAGTACAAACCGTAAAAGCATACTATTAACTGTCAAATACACTATAATATCCTAATTCCATTGAAAACAAGAGAATTAGGACATTAAAATCAACTTCAAGAATTTGAGGACTGGCATGGAAGCAGTACCATTGTTTTACACACTGAAATATGAACAACGTGTTTAGAACTATTTGGGACTCCTGTGTTGTGATTATCATTGTATTTCCTGTGCTAACGTTCTCGTAAGAGAGGATAGATTTTATTGTTTCGACTAAAGCTTCATCACTAATAGTGCTGTATGAAGAACGTATACGGATGTTAAGTTCATGCATGCGCCTTTCTACAGTTCGTTTGCTGACACCTAGTATTTTCGCAATATTCGATACATTAAAACGACGTTCTATAAAAAATTCCAAGTGTTCCTTTGGGATGTTTATTTTGGGTTTCCCACGACGACCTGTAAATACAGGTAAAGCTTGCAAAGGAGCGCCTTCACGGTCATCGTTAATTATTTCTAGTTCTTGTGTTGCATTACGAAGAATATCCACTACACCACTCAAATTATCCAGCCGCCCAGTACCTGAATATCTCACGAGGACATTCAGAAGCCAATCAAGACGAAAACTTAAGCAATCTAAGTTATCAGAATCCAAGTTACCACTATCAAGCCAGCGAGTAAGATCTTGCAAATAAACCCTGATTCTCTGGTCCACGTCCGCCATGTTGTTTTGAAAGGCTTCCGCTGTACAAAGGATTTGCATACTCTGGATTTTGACCCAAGCTCTTTCAGAACGCGCGGTTAGGAACTCCTGTGAATTCGGTCAAATTCATTCGGCTGTTTTGAATTCGGTCAAATTTCTGTGGTTGTAAATTCGGTCAAATTCATTCGGCTGTTTTGAATTCGGTCAAATTTCTGTGGTTGTAAATTCGGACAAGTTCATTCGGCTGTTTTGAATTCGATCAATTGAAACATACGAATTTAGGCAAATAATTCACAACAGAATGCAATTCACAATAATGAAATAGAAGTCAAGAACAACACAATTTGATAGAGAATATTGGCGGTGATTACGCTCCATATTGCTTATACTATTATTGAAATGTTTGTTACTTAACGTTTATTACATATTTACC